CATCTTGATTTTTTTGTATGAATATTCTACCCAATAAGTCATAAAAATTAAATAATTCGGATCACTTAAATTGGTCCTAAAATGAGCTTATCAAACCTAAACACTCCATCAAGTTGAAATGACTAATTTCAATGAAGTCAAACCCTATTAGTATTACTAAAGATTCATAATTTTATTCAGAAATTATCTAAAAATATCAATATTTGATTCATATTCATTCTGCACATTAACCCCATAATACATACTTTCAATCTTCACCATGCACTCTCATCCTTAACACAAATTTGAGATTGTAAGCCTTGTTAAAATTACTATTTATATAATAGATATGGTTGTTTTATACCATGTATTTACCAAGCCTTTGTTTGTGAAATACTAAACAATAAAAAAAGAAAAAAATCTATTTTTTTGATTATTTAAGTTAAAAATATTTTAGCTTTGCTTATTTAGTTGACAATTAAAATGGAAAAAGGGAAATTGGTGAATTATCACTTTCCAACTTGGGGTAGTTGGAAAAGTCTAATATATATTTTTTTATTAGTTAAGGTCTCTCAATGAAATTTCTTTATGATTATATCCGAGAAATTTTATTTCTCTATGTTAGGGCAACATTTCTCTGTGTCGATTTTTCTCTGTGAAAAAGTTGAGGGAGACCCCAAATACTATGAAAATATTATATATCCTTTATCTTATAAAATTTTAATATCATGGACTAAAAAAATTCTCCAGTGAAAAATTACAATAAAATTAAATTTGTTTGACAAATGTTAAAAAAGTCACATTTTTTTCCAAATAATTTTTTTGTCTTTAGTGAAAATATTGAAAATTTGTATTAAAATTTTTTATTTTTTGTTTTTTCTAGTTTAGAAGAATCTAAAGAGTAAATTTTTATTTAAAAAAAAAACAATTTAATAAGTTTTGTGTTAATTACGTTTACCTGATGCTACCTTTTTGGGACTCTATCTAAGCTATAATGTGCCTGTTTGGTGCAGCTTAAAAATTGCTTATTTCAGCTTTCAGCTTAATTTAAATTATTTTGATGTGTTTGGTTTGGTTTAGTTTATAACTTATAACTTATAGTTTTTTGGAAGTTAGAAATCAGCTTATTCTTTGAGTGGGGCAGGAGATGCTTAATTTATAAGTCAGAAATCAGTTTATATTCATAGTTATAAGGTATAAGCTGTTTAGGTATAAGGTATAAACACTTTTCCACAACTCTACCAAACAGGGCCAATATCGGGAAAAACATTTCATTAATCTACCAAGCACATTTTTTTTATCGGGAAAAACATTTCATTAAAGTTTAATACACCATCGCAAATTGAAATATAAGATAAAAAACAATTGATTTAGCACCTGACATTTTTTGTTTTTGTTTTTGTTTTTGTAAACTAAATGATAAATTTGTTTGGTATTTGTGTGGGTGATTTTCCAACCACACTGCCCGCTTAGTAACCAGCTGGAGAGCACTGGCAGAATAGATGGCACCTGACTGACCTGCAACAGAAATATTATTATTCAAAATTCATAATCGAATAATTTTTTTTTATTTTAAAATTTAAAATTTAATTCAAATTTTTTTTTTTAAAAAATTCATAACTAAACAAATTTTTTCTTTTTATGGTGGTGTTTGAGAACCTTTGAGATAGGCTATTTAGGGCTAGTTTGGCATGTACTAAATAAGCCAAAAAGTCAAAAAGTCACTATCTTATTTAAGTCACATCATCTTATTTAAATCGCATCACCTCTCTAACACATCACATCAAACCCAACTCAAACCCACCAATAAGTCAAAAAGTACATTTTTGTAGGACATCTCAAACCAACTCTTAGTCTCAAATGGCAGAAAATCCTTTTAGCCTCACACAACCCATTGATTAAAAAATAAAATAAAAAAAAAAATTGAAAAGCAGCCGTTGTCCAACAGCACACTGTCACCAATAGTGTAGGCTTTAGACAGTTAAATGACGATTTTATCCCTATAAATCAATTTTGGAAAAAATAAAGTTATAGACAAATTTATCATTTCAACTTTAAACATCATTTTAAACATATTTTTCAATATAATAATCAACCAAAAAATTTAGTCCAACTTTCTAAATATAAAAATTAAAATAACCTATTAAAATAGTCAAAACACTTAAAAAAAACTACTTCCCAAACACCCCACTATATCATAATTTAACAACTTATAAATTCAAAATATAACTTTATTCTTAAATTAAAATTCTAAAACTAAATCAAATGTTACCCAAATTTGTTTTTGTTTTCATTTGTTTGGTACATTTTTTTGCACTTCCAACGTGCTTTGACCACTGTCCGGCGAATGCTGTTTGGCTTTGATGACCCAACAAATAGTCACTGCTTTTGACTTTTGACGAGACCAACATGCATCTATCCTCCACCAACGACAATGAAGTTCGACAACACACCAACTATATTTCTTCATTTTTTTAATTTTTATTTTCAAAACATTTGTGTATATTAAACAATTTTTTTATTTTCATTTTTCCAAAAATAGAAAATAAAAATGACACTTTTTTTGTTGTTGGCTCGGTGTGTGTCAGTAGGAGCATTCACCGAAAAAAGTGTCAGTAAGAGAGTAATTATAAATTTAATAAAAGAATAATTATAAATATTAAGAGTAAATATGATTCAAATTAATTTTAATTAATATTATTATTCACAGCTTAAAATTGTCACCACATAGTATATTAAATTTTTCTTTATAGAAATTAAACTTGAAATTTCACATCAATATATTAAACAACCATTAAACTAAATGCATTGATTAATAAAAACTACAAACAATCTACAACTAATAATCACACCCCCCAAAAAACAAAATAATCCAAAACTATGCTGTATCAAGGTAGACGAGCCGGATCAGGATCCTCTAGAGTGGGATTTCCTGAAGTGATCCGTGAAGTGAGTGATCCATTGACTCAAAATAAAACTAACCAAAACGACGTCGTTTTGGTTAGTAATTTCAAACAAAAAAAAAAGTTTTAATTCAAAATTTATGTAGATCACCCACTGTCGCCCCCTTCTCTCCTCCTTCCTCTCTTCACTCTCATCTTCTTTTTCTTCTTCTTTATGTTCTTCATCTGAGAAGGACTCGTGGGTATTGGTGTTGTTTGGTTTCTTGTTTCTTAGATTTTGGAGGTGTTGTTTCGACTAGTTTCTTCAATGGGTTTTGGTTTTTAGGGGGAAAATGAAGATCTAATAAATCCATGGATCTTGATTTGGTGGGCTATACACATTCATTTTCCTTGGAATACACTAATGCTATTTATTTATTTATTTATTTTGTTCTTTCTTGAATCTATAGTTTGGTTATTTATTGTTTTGATTGGTTGAAATGTTCTTTGGGTGTCTCTGGGTTTCTTGAATCTATAATTGGGTTGTTTATTGTTTATTGTTCTCAGGAAGTTCATAGCCATAAATAACACCAAATCCATTTTCATGTGAGTTTCTCTGCAAATCCACCCATTTTCTTCTTCATCTCTCAAACCCATCAAAATCTCTGCAAAATCTCTATGTCCTTGAAACTTCTTGAAGAATAGAGATTAAAGTGAGTTTTTTGAAGAATAGAAATCAAAAAACTAGAGGACATAGAGGCTTTGTTTGGTTTGTTTTTGAGAAAGTAATTTTGGAAAAAAAAATTCAAAATTTTGTTTGGTTTAGTGATTTTGGAAAAAAAATTCCAAAATTACTCTCTCTCTCTCTCTCATAATTCCAAAACCATCAATTAATCACTTTTTCTCTCTCTTCTCTCTTTCTCAATCACTTTTTCTCTCACACATATCTACTCAATTACAACAAAATATCAAATCATCCCCAACTCCTATACTCCAAAACTATTTTCAAAATATATCACTAAACAAATCAAAAAAATTTTTAAACTCTCTTCCTAATTTTTTTTTTGAAAATTTATCTCCTAAAACCAAATCAAACACATCCAGTGATTTTAAAAAATTAGATCTCTACAAAAAAAAAATCAATCTCTGCAAAATCTCTATTTCCTCAGCTCTCTCTCCTCCTCCCTCTCAATCTGTAACTGTAAAAAAAAAAAAAAAAATTAAATTAACAATTAAAACAACGTCATTTTGACATGAGGTTATCTTAACTATTAATTTTATTGATGAGACACATGCCGGATCATAACAGATCGCTATAAAGGATCACTTCAGCCAATGACGATCCGGACGCAGAGGAGCCGCCCCCCAGTCATTTTCTTGAATTAATGCACCGCCTATAAGGCCGCAGATGGTGGGAAGGAGTCCAAAGCAGCGTGTTGACTCTCTTGCTCTCTGTCACCATCATCAATCAATACGTTACTGCTACTACAACAATTAGGCGGTTTGTTTTTAGGTGGTTCAATAGTGAATGAATTACCTAAAATTATGTTGGTTTTGATAATTGTTATTAGTACGAAAATTACTAAATTATTATTTTATAAAAAAAATATAAAATATTAAAATAAATAAAATTATAATTTTTACTTAATGAAAAAATATAAAAATATTAAACATTAATATTTAAAAAAAAAATATTCAACAATCTGATCAAAAAAAAGAAAAAAGAAAAAAAATATTCAACATGTAAAAGTAATAAAAAAAAAAAAAATACTATGCCAGATAATTAACCTATAATATCAACCCTCCCACCTTCATCCCAATTCTCTTTTCATAATCCATCCTAATTCGAAGACACATGTCAATCCCTTCTCCGTCTCTCAAAAACACAGCATTAATAGGCGTCCACCTCCATCTCAAACGGCCCTAAGCTTTATATCTTCCATCCATCCGCCAAACCGCCAATCCGCTCAATCCACATCCGCCGGATTGGCGGACGGATGCGGATTGATTTTCTTCAATCCGCCAATCTGGCAGACGGATGGCGGATTGGAGGTTCCGTGGCCGCAACCGACCCGCGCCCACCCCTACCTTCATCCCAATTCTCTTTTCATAATCCATCCTAATTCGAAGACACATCTCAATCCCTTCTCCGTCTCTCAAAAACACAGCATTAATAGGGGTCCACCTCCATCTCAAACGGCCCTAAGCTTTATATCTTCTCTTCATTAGCCCCCAACTCATACATACCTCAAGAATCCCCGGTACAACTTTCATCAAAACCCAAATCATATTTTCTTTCAACTTTAAACTTGGATTCATTGGTTGATTCAAATGGAAAACTTGATGGGATTGCTCAGAATTCACATCCACAGAGGCATAAATCTTGCCATCAGAGATGTCACAAGCAGTGATCCTTATGTTGTTGTCCGCATGGGCAAACAGGTAATTACCACTACTCTCTGTCTCACTCTATTATGTTCCTTTTCAGTACCTGTGTGTTTTTGTTCTTCAAATTCAAACACTTTCTTTTGAGGCATGAAATCTGATTTGTTATTCATTTGTGTGAATTGTTTGTTTCAAGCAGAAATTAAAGACTCGAGTAGTGAACAAAAATGTTAATCCTGAGTGGAATGAAGATTTGACTCTTTCCATCGCAGACCCAAATCTCCCAATCAATCTTGTAAGTGTTTTCTACGATCCCCAAAACATCCTTCAACTTTTGGTGCAGATATTATTATAAGTTGGTTTATATTTGGGATTTATTTTTGTTTTGGTTGAATTTTTTATTTTTAGGGCTGTTTATATTTGACAATCTTCGAAGTTTCAAAAAAATTTGTTTTTTTTAAAAGGGTAAAATACATCGACCATTCATGAAGTTTGGAAATTTTTTATTAAATAGTGTTTTGACATAATTATATCGATTTTTCTTTTAAGTAAGTTTTTTGTTTTTGTTTTTAAATTAATAGGAAAGTAATTTACAATGTATGATCTCACAGTTAAGAAAGTCAATAAAACTCAAACCTAAGCCCAACAACCACTTCACTGTTACTTACATACAAGTTACAACTCCATGACAGTGGAGAAATAAACACCACCACAAAAGGATATCAAAATCATCTACCAGAAATGGTGTTACACAACTGTAAGAGCAAATATCCTAATTTTCTTTTAAGTGAGGTTAAAAGGTGCAAAACATGGTTATGGAAACAAAAGTTATAAATAAAATAAAATATGCATTTTAGTGTTAAAATATTACATTATTTTTCCATCTTCGTTTGGGAAAAAAAAATTTAACTTGATTTTTTGGCTAATATTTTGGCTAAATTAGCTCAGTTTGGAAATTTTTTTTTATTTTTTGTGAGAGAAAAAATGAAATTATTATAGTTTGGACGTAACATTGTCTTATTCACTTAATTTATTTTATCTTTTTATACTTTTTGTAGTCCTAACCTAAACCCAACTCACTTGTCAAAGAAGGACTAAATAACTAATTACTAATGAGAAGGGAGTTCAGTGTTAGGTGAATTAAAATTTTGAAGCAATATTTGGTTGACTGGAATGAAATGATCATTTCATCAAAAATATTTATTCCCATGTTTGATTATTAGACAAAAAAAAAAAAAAAAAAAAAAAAAAAAAACAAATACGTTACAAATATATCATTTTTTACCATTTTAAGGGAATGGTCATTACATAGAAAAGTTTAAGGAATAACCATTTCATTCTATTCCATCTCATTTTAATGAATCAAATAGAGAATCAGGGTGCCGAATGTAAGTATGCTAAACTTGCGAGATTTACTATATTTTTGTCAAATTTTTGTAGAGATTAGTATAATTTACCCTTTTTAGAAATTCTACTCAAGACAAAAATAAACAAATTTTTTGAATTTTTTTTGATAAAATTTGAATAATTTTCCTCTTTCATAAACTTTCTAAAATTTGTTTATATATATATATATATATATAGAAAAATGAGTCAGACCCCCTTTGTGGAGGACCCCATAACCCCTTTACTGATCTACACCATTCATGATGTGTGGGGTCCACATCATGAATGGTGTGTATCACAAAGGGGGTTGTAGGAGGGGGTCTCTATCATTGCTGATATATATATATTAGGTTCATCTAGTCTTCTTTTTTTTTTTATTTATTTATTTATTTTTTTTATTATTAAATGGAATGGGAGAATCACATCCCAGTGAGACAGATTTTTTTTTTAACACAAATATGGAGAGGTGCAAGTGTCATAATTTTTTACTTGTACCCCACCACAAAATGATTTGCACACTACATGTTTTTGTAATTTTTTTTTCTCCCTCCCACTATGCTGCAATTCCCCCAAATGGAATTGCAGTGCAGGTTATAGATTCGTCTAGTTTAGACAGAGTTAAGAACTTAAAAAAAAGAAAAAAAAATTACTGAAAACAAAAGTAAATCAAAGAAATAAGCTGCTTATAAGCTGTCCAAGGTCTAAATGACCACTCAAAAGCAGCGGATGAACTTGTTCAGTTACTATTTCATGAAGAGCATCCCAGTGAGGAGAAACAAGAGCTTTATGCTCAAATCATGAAATCCAAATAATGAAAGAGATTATCATATTCTAGATTGACTAAGCTTATAGAAAGAGATATGGTAATGGTTTTTTAACCACCATTTTAATTTTATGACATTGCAGTCTGTCTTTGACAAGGATATATTCACTCTCGATGACAAAATGGGAGACGCAGAGTTTGATATTAAACCGTTCATAGAAGCTCTAAAAATGCGGTTGGAAGGCCTCCCTACCGGAACCATAATCACGAGAATCAAACCAACCCGAGAAAATTGCCTAGCCGAAGAGAGCTGCATTGTCTGGATCAATGGCCAAGTTGTTCAAAACATGTTTCTTAGACTCCGAAATGTGGAGCGCGGTGAGGTGGAACTGCAACTGCAGTGGATTAACATTCCCGGTTCCAGGGGCCTGTAGGATTATAAAAAATAAATAAATGTTATACTCTTATATGATTGTGTGCTTTTGTAAATGTAAAGGAATTTAAATGTGAAATTTATGTAAGACTGATGATTGAAGCTAGTGTTTTGACTCTTGTTTTCATTCTTAATTTCTTGTTGAGCTTTCAGGATACAATGATTGAAATTTTGTTTAAGAGTATGTAAAAAAAAGTGATACAAATTCATAGGAGTACTTCATTTATCATTTTGATGGCATCAAATTTTGTGAAATTCTGAGATGGGAGGTTTGTTCTTGGTGTGGGGAGGAGCTGTATGGTTGGTTTCAGCTTTGCTCTTCTTGGTGCTGCTTTTGCTACCATTGTCCTGTTAACAGAGTCACCACCATACCCCAACCCAACGGATTTGGCTTACTGAGAGGCAAATAAATGACTTAAAACCAAAGAAGAGGTCACAGTATTGAATCTTCCGAACTTTGGGTTATGGAAGAATCTCATGTAAGTGAAACATTCCAAACTTTGGGTTACGGAAGATTTGTCATGTCGTTAACTTCAGGGTTCCGAATTAGTCAAGGCGTGTGTAAGTTAACCCTAACATCCAATAATTTTTTTTTGAAAAAAAGTCACCACCACCGGCTCTCTGTTAATAGAACCTTCTGGATTCTTCTATCACCTTCTTCCCCTTTTCTCCATCTCTCTTATATTCTTATCTTAAACCCATTCTATAAATTTTGTCCAGAATGCTCTCTCTCTCTCTTGGAGCTTCATCCATCGGCAGCCCTTGTTGGATGTTGGTGGAGGAGCCATCAATCAAAAAATTATTATATTGAAGAATTTTGTGTTTTTGTTTTGCACAAAATATGAAATTTTACATGTGAAGGTTAGGAATATTGGGTGATTATCAAGTGAATAAATAAAATGATTTTGATTGTAAATATTAGTGTCAAAAGTTATATAGGCTGGCAGTTAAATATTTTGCCTAAGTTCTCAATATAGGCTTGAGTCACCTCTGGGTGGAACATATTTTTAGCTATGATGCTTCGGTCTTGGTTTGTTTTATTTTCTAGAATTTAATTTTGTTATGCTTCTTGTACCGTTGATTACGTCAATGAATTTTTTTTTTTCTTATTAAAAAAAATAAAATAAAAGTTCTCTTCAAAACTTTGGAGTGGTTGGAACATGCTTTTAGCTACGATGCTTTGACTTTTGCTTGCTTTGTCGTTTTGAATTTAATTTTGTTATACTTCCTCTGCCGTTGATTATATCAATGAAAATTCTTATGAGAAAAAATAAAATGAAATAAAATACCTCTTTAAACTTTGGAATGGTTGGAACATGCTTTAGCTATGATGGCTAGCTTGTTTTGTTCTCCTGGATTTAATTTTTTTTTGTACTTCTTGTACTGAAAAAATAAAATAAAAGGTCTCTACAAAACTTTGTAGTGATTGGAACATGCTTTTAACTAGGATGCATTGGCCTCTGCTTGTCTTGTTCTTAATTTTAATTTTGTTGTATTTCTTATACAGTTGATTATTTATAGAAAACAAAATAAAATAAAAGGTCTATACAAAACTCGAGAGTGATTAGAACTTACTTTTAACTATGGCGCTTTGGTCTTACTCGTTTTGTTCTCTTGACTTTAATTTTGTACTTGTTTGGCATGAAGAAGCTTGAGATTTTTTTGACTAAAATAGTCACAAAAAGATAAAAGAGACTGAAAAGTCAATAATACAAAATGTCATATTCAAATCATAATCATTTTATATTTTATTTCACAAAAATCAAAAGATTCAAAAAATCTATCCTAAACGAGACCTTTTAACCCAAAATAAAAAAGTCAAAAAATCAAAAAACTAATATATATTTCAAACGAAACATTTGTTATACTTCTTGCATAATTGATTACATCAATAAAAAAATTCTTTATTGATAAAAAAAAATTAATAATAAAGTCTCTCTTTAAAACTTTGGTGTAGTTGGAACATGCTTTTAACTATGATATTTTAGTCCTCGCTTGTTTTTAGGGCTGCAAATGAACTGAGCTGTTCATAAACAAACTCGGCTCGGCTCGGCTCGTTTACTTTTAATTTTTGTTTTTTAATTATCAACTTCCAGTTTCTTAAGAAAGTACATCTGATAAATTTTCTCATTCACAGAACCTATTTGATGTAGCTTATAGGGCCGGCTTATATATAATTTAATTTTTTATTTTATTTTGAGAGCTTATCCTAAAGTGTTTGATATATCTTTTACATAGGACTGCAAATGAACCAATCTGTTCATGAACAAGCTCAGTTCGGCTCGGCTCGTTTATCTATATTTAAATTATATAATAAATATATTATTTATATATTAAATAATATATAAATATATATAAATAATTGTATAAACTCATTATTTATATCTTAAATAATATAAATAATATTTGTTATTTGAATATTTTTATTTAAATAATATAAATAATATTAAAAAAAAATTATCGAGCCGAGCCGAGCCGAGCTTGAGCTCAATAAACGAACTCGATAAGTAAACGAGCCGAGCTCGAGCTCAGCAAAGCTCGGCTCGGCTCGTTTGCAGCCCTACTTGTTTTGTTTTGGGTAAATTATAAATAGGTACTTACGTGTAGGTCTTAATAAGTAGATTTATTATCTAATAAGTCTTATGGAAAAAAAATTTCATAAAAAAAGGTCACTAATTGTAAGTTTTAGCGACAATTTATAAAAATCATGCGAAAAAAAAGTAACTAATTGTCAATTTTTAGTGATGTATATAAAAAATTGTCCCAAAAAATTATTTTTAGCGACGATTTTACCATGATTTATTTTCAATAGGATTTGATGGGAATTAAGTCTAACTATTAAGACCTACTAGTAGTTTACCCTTATAAATACACCTCCCGAGATTTGATTAAAATAAGAATCGCCTCTTGTAATTTTAAAAAGTACATTTCACTCCCATAGATTTTTAATTTCATAACAAAGCGTTCATTTTATTAATAAATCATCAAGTCAATTAACAATTTTTAATAATTTTAAAAATATGTTTCAATTAATAATTTAGGTAATTTTATTATTGTATAGGAGAGCAATTATGAATTTTATTTTTTTAGTTAATTCTGTTAAATAAATTTTTTTAATAAGGGGCTATTTGTAATTTTTCAAACCACATGGGACAATTTATATTTTAAGGGAAATTCTATTTCCATACACCACATTATCTCTGTGCACATCATTTTTTACTATACTCACTTAGTAATTTGATTCTTAAACATTTATCTCAACCCACACACTCCACCTTCCAAATATACCCATTTAATAAAAAAATGTATGTACACCCTCACATTAGCCCACACAAATATTCGTGATCGTCGTGCTGCATCGGCTGCCATGATTGATGACAATTAGATTGAACCTTACAAATTGAATGTTACAATCAAATTAACTACAATTTATATAAGTTTCAGTAATATATTTATCTGGATTCTGTATTTCAATTCGTTTCATGTTTGTTTGTTTATGTTTTTGGTGTAAAATTATATCTGGGTTTGAAATTTTCTTTTTGATTTGAAATTTAGATCGGTTGAATTTTGATAGTTTGTTATTTTATGCCGTTTGAGTCTTTTGAAATCTATAGTTTCACTCACATGTAACCATGTATTTTACAAGTAAGTTCTTCTGATTCAGCTTCATACCGTGGGCTTTACATGTTGTTTATGTTACCCAAAAGACAACTTAAGAAGGAGTGTGGTTTTTACAATTAAAAATTAATAATACCCTAATAAAAATTATGACTAGCACAATAGATAAATATAGTTAATGAAATAAAAATAATTAAAAACAAGTGTTCTAACAACTATGTCAATTAATGATTTTAATACAGTGAACATGTAAAATATAACTACAGCAATTTAAATAAAATAAAGAGATAAGGGAGAGAGAGGCAAACAAATTTATAGTGGTTCGGCTTCAACTCGGCCTACGTCCACTCCTCAAGTTTCACTTGAGATTTTCCACTATGCTTTAACTTCACGGGGGTGCTAGCAACTTCTTTACAAATGGAGCAATCCTCTACGGATTTTACACAGACTTTCTAAGTCAAGAACACTGAGTGTACTACACTCTTACAATGTTGAAAAGAAGTGTTTTTGCTTTCACAGAAAGTTACAAGAATTATCTCTAAAAAATAGATATAAAAATGAAGCTCTGGTTTTTCTGTAAACCTTACACTGGAAAGATATGCTTAAAGCTATACGTTTCAGTGTATAATTTCTGAAAGAGGATGTAAACAAATTGAAGAACACTTCTCAGATAATTTTTCAGAGAATAGATGTTAGTGATTATAGATCAAAGAATATTTTCTGATTTTTTTTGTAACTTGTTAAATTAGAGGCTTTGGTATATATAATGAAACTTATAGTCGTTTATAACCGTTTATAGCCGTTGTATTCATTTGAATTTATAGCCGTTTATAGCCGTTTATAGCCGTTGTACTTCCATCATTACTAATTTGAATATCTTTCACTCCATCATTATTAATTTAAATATCTTCCACTTGAACCTTTTGAACCTTTTGGCCTGCCGTTGTGCTAGGCTGTTTGAACCTTTGTTTTGGGCTGTTTGAACTCCTGATTTAATCAAATATTAAATACATTCTAATAACATTTAGGATAAAGGTTTAGGTGAGAAATAATGAGACAAAATAAATTTTGATTCTATTTTTCTCTTTCAAATAAATCATCAAAATAAATTTTGATTTTATTTTTCTTTTTCAAATAAATTAAAATATAATTAAATAAATCATTAAAATAAATTTTGAATTCTATTTTTCTTTTTCAAATAAATTAAAACATAATTAAATAAATTATCAAAATAAATAAGTCTAACAATTTATTTATTTATTTGTTTCATTAATGTACAAATCTATGTATGGCATTTGATAATGTGGAAGTAGAAGCCTAATACTTTGTGTTGTTTCTATTGTTTTCAGTTTATGTATTGAGAAATCTATGAAATTAGATTCCAGTTGTCCAGTTTGTAAGATTCTACCTGATTGTGTAAAGTGTGGATAGATGTCTATTTTGGTCATTTTTTTTAAAGGTAAATTTGTAATAAAAATAAAGTTCATCAAATGTGTGGACAGAGACAATGTGATGT